TCCGCCCTCCTGCCCCCTCGACACAGCTCGCCCCAGGGGTGGCGGGATCTTACGAGTGCCCCTTTTGCACTTGGATGATAGGCAGGGCCACCACTGCTCTGAGTGATATATCCTAGGTTTCAGAGGCCCCTCATTGAACAAGTGCCATCCAGCCCTGGAGCCTTTTTGCTCGTAAGAGCTCGAGTTCATGATAAGGTAATCGTGCGAGGGGGCTGGTCGACGGGGCGGCCTTGACAGCCCTCGGGGGATGGGGGAGGGGCGGGCGAGAGGGAGGAGGAGGAGGAGGAGGAGGACGAGGAGGAAAAGGATGAAGAAGAGGAGGACGAGAAAGATGAGGACGAGGAGGAACAGGAGGAGCAAGGAGATGAGAGAGAGAGGACGGAGAGGGCGCGCATGAGGAAGAACAGGGTCGAACTCTCGGCCCGTCTCTTGCGTGCCGCGGCCCCCCGTGCTGGCCACGCGCCCTCCCGTGGCGGCTTGCCCCTCTCCCCTTCTCCAGCTGCCGCCAGGAGCACAATTCGAAAGGATCCATCTAAGAATGGGGAGGCGGAGGGGGGGGGGGGACGAGGAGGAGGAAAACGAGAAAGACGAGGATGAGGAGCATAGGAGTAGGATGAATAGGAGGACGAAAAGGAGGAGGAGGAGGAGGAGGAGGAGGAGGAGGAGGAGGGGGAGGAGGAGGAGGAGGAGGAGGAGGAGGATGAGGAGGAGGAGGAGGAAGAGGAGGGGGAGGAGGAGGAGGAAGGGGAGGAGAAGGAGGAGAGGAAACACGAAACCAGGGTAAGTACGAATGCGGGTTGGAAGAGGACAAAATGCAATAATATGTGTTTGAGTGGGTCTTTTACTGTATAAGCTAACTGTCGGCGCCAAGCGCATTGCGAACTAACTTGTAGATTGATTGTTCACTGCCACGTCCTTCGTATATGTTATTTCCTCGTGCGTTCCACGTCTACGTCTTCTTTTGCATCCACGGCCAAAACGATTCTGGCCGTAGATGCCCAACAAAAACATGTTGCCAAAATCTGGCCGTAGAGGACCTCAGGGCAGAGGGGCCACCCCCGGCACCCGCAGACCTCGGGAGCGCGCCGGTCGTCCCTGGCCCTGCTGGACCGGGGGCGATTCGAGGGAGTCGGGCGGGAGCGCAAGAGGAGCGTACGAGGAGGGCCCCGACGAGGACCCTTACGACTGGGTGGCCAGCTGGATCCCGGACGGGATGGCGGCGGACTGGGTGCGCACCCCCATGCTGCCGACGGGCGGCTACACTATCAGGGCGCCCATCCCCCCAAGCTGGGCGGAGCTGTGGAAGCCCGAGGTCCTGCAGGAGATGGGCCACTTCCCCCCGGAGCTGGCGGCGTGGCTGGACTCCACCATTCGGGTCGGGGGGGATGGATGGACCCAGTTGGATGGGTGCCCGCGGAGCCTGGACACCCACCGCGCCCTCCCGCTCCGCTTGGAGGAGGGAGGCACGGAGACGGTCTACTACCACCCGAAGCACATGCTGCTGTTCTTCGTGGAGGCGCGGGAGGTCTACAGGCTGATGCACCTGGCCCAGGGCCCAGTCCCCCAGCACCTCAGGGCGCACCGGGATGAGCAAAAGCTCCGAACGGCACGCACCCCCCCCCCCCGCCGCTTCGGAAGACCGCGGGGCCCGTCGCCGGCGGGGAGGCGGACGGGGCCGCGGGGGGGCACCCCGCTGGCGCGGAGAGCGGGGGCGGGAGACCCCTCCCAGATCAGGGCGCGGAGCCGCCTCAGGACGCACCCGCTGAGGAGGGGCGGGGGGGCGGGGGCGCGGAGCCGGGAGGGGGGGCGGACCAGAAGGGCGAGGCCGACCTTGTCGGGGCTGCCAGCCTGGCTCAGGGTGCGGCGGAGGACGGGTCTGGGCTGGAGGGGCCGGCCGAGTCACCCGAGCCCCCGGAGGGCGCCCAGCCCAGGCACCCGCGCTTCCAGCTGCCGGAGGAAGGGCCCCCGGGGCCCGAGCCGGCACCCCCGGCCGAGCGTCAGGGGCCCCAGGAGGCGGAGCCGGCGGCGCCGGCCGAGGACACCTTCGAGACCCGGGAACTATTCTAGTCGGACGCGTGGCTACAAGCCCCGATGGGTGGCGGCTTCCGCAACGTCCTGCAGGTCCTGGTGGAGATCCTCGTCGACGAGCAAAGGGCGGGGGCCTCCTCCTCCCCCGGGGGAGAGCGCCTGTTCCACCTGGGGGACTTCAGCCGCAGGGCCCAGGCGGGACTGGGCCAGACCAACGGGCGGATCGCGGAGGAGTACCTGAAGGACACGTTCGGGGAAGGCGTTCAGACCAATACCAACCCGTCCACCGGGAGGGAGTACAGGATCCCCGAGGTCATGGAGAAGTTGCAGGAGACGAGGGAGGCAGCCCTGCGGAGGAGCCTGGAAGTGACCCGGCCGGAGGCAGAAGCCCCGAGACCAGCCCGGGGCGGGCTACCCCGTTCCCCCCGCGAGGCTGGGGAGACCGACGCACGGGGCAAGGGGGGGGGCCCTACCAGCCGTGCACGGGGGGCGACCCCGGTGCCCCCGGCGGGGGCGATACTGCAGCTGGAGGAGACGGACTGAGCCGGACCCGGCCTTGTGCGGACGTCCGGGAGGCGGGTGGCCCTCTCCATGAATTCATCACGGACCCTCCTCCCTCTGGAGGGGTGGCCCCGAGTTTTGGGGCCCCCCTGCACGCGCGCCGGCCGCCGAGTCATGAACGTGTTAAGCGGCTGCACAGGATGCGGGCAGGGTGGCCCCTGCGCGGCCCCGGAGTGGAGCTCCCCCAAGGCGGGGCTCGGTGGTGGAGCTGGCCCGCGGCCCCCTTTTTTAATCGTCTCGTGGGGCCCCGCCCCCTGCCTGTGAGCAGTTTGCCCACTGGAGGTCGGCGGTGGCTTGGACTTTTACCGGAGGGTGGGGCCCGGGGCGGGCGTGGGCGGAATGCCTGCGGCTGTGCTCGCGGTCGTCGCCAAAACAGGGCCCCCTCCTCTCTTGACAGTTAACGGAGTTTGGGGGGAATATGGTCTCGTTTGGCTATGCCTAAACGGTTTTATTCCCCCCTAGGCCGCAGTGTCTGGTTCCCTCCCCCTTTTTCCCTTTCCCTCTTCCGCAGCCGTCTGTGCTTCGAGCTGTGCTTTTCCACCTCCCACCCCGCAACTTTTTTCACGGAGCTGTTCCCTGGAGTCCCCTTCGTCAGTCGGAGAGCTCCAGGGCGGAATGCCTGCGGCTGTGCTCGCGGTCGTCGCCAAAACAGGGCCCCCTCCTCTCTTGACAGTTAACGGAGTTTGGGGGGAATACCATTGTTTGAAAACGACCATCATTCCACCCTTCAGCTCGTTGCGTATGTTTCAGGCGATCGTGCGCGGCGCTGAGGCGAGAGTCACATCTTGGCCAGGAGCCGCCTTCCACACTGTAAACGTATGCAACATGTTACAATGAGTGCGCGCGGCGCTAAGGCGACGACTACACTTCGAAAGCCACCCGCCCTCCATCCTTGAGCTGCTGCAGATGTCAGGCTCCAGGATCATCAATGGTGGTGAAGACTGAGGCGAAACGCCCAGCCCTTCCTGCCGACACGCGTGGCGGCGCGACAGCGAGGAGCCTTTCGAATAAGGAAGAAGACTGGAGGGGAGGGAAGGATGAGGAGGGAGGAGGAGGAAGAGGAGAAGGAGGTGGGCGGAGAAGGATAAGGATGAGGAGGAAGAGGAGGAGGCTGGAGGAGGAAGGCGGGTGAACGAGGAGTGGGTGGAGGGAAGGCGGAGGTACAGCAGGGGAACATATGAGGTGAGGGAGAGTACGGGATGGATGGACGATGAGGGAGTGGTGGGGCCAGAGGAAGAAGCGGATTTCACACGGCCGTTTTCCATTCGTTGGGCGCATTTGGAAGTGAAGCGTGTAGAACGCCTCCCGCGTAAACGGCACCGCCAGTACCTCCAGCACCTCTCGCGACTGTAGGCTTCTGGTGCTCCTGCAAATTTCTGGTTCCAGTCGCCTGCGAGCGGGACACGGGTGTAAATGCCATTCGGCCATTCGGTTTCTTCCAAGGACCGACCACAACGATGTTCAGTTTTGTTGTTGCCTTTGTTGTGCTTTTCGTTTTGTTTTCGTTGCTGTTCCGTTGTCTTGTTCGTTTTTGTTTTGAACGCGTTTGAATGTTAAGCGTTGTTTTGGGGCACGCGTTTCGTTGTGCGTTCTGTTTTGGTGCGTTTCCAAGTTTGCGTTTGGGACCCCCCAGGCAGGCAAGGAGGGGAGGGGATCAGGGGCGGCCCGACAGACCCCCAGCAGACCGAGCCCCTCCGCGGCGCCCCCCTCGTTTCGCTCCAAATTTTGGGCAGACGGCAGGACTGGAACCTCGAGGGTGGGAGGGTCGTCATAGACGGGGCTCGTCCCGGAAGTGGTCGGTTTGGCGTCGCCCGAGGTCTGTTTTCGAATGGTTTTGCTTGCGTATCTCGCTTAGTGGCTTCCACGCGTGTGAGGGCTTCCCTTTGGCCCGACGCCTCCCCTAAGGACCCTTACCTTACATGACCTCCCCCTCCTCGTCTGTTCACCCCGTCCTTCGCTGCTGCTGCTGTTCCTCCTCCTCGTCATCGTCATCAGCATCAGCATCAGCATCATCAGCAGCAGCAGGAGCAGCCGCATCATCGTTATCGTCATCACCATCATCATCATCAGCATCATCATCATCATCATCAGCATCAGCATCAGCATCAGCATCACAATTACCATACTCAGCATCATCATTGTCATCATCATCATCATCAGCAGCAGCAGCAACAGCATCATCATCATCATCATCATCATCATCATCATCAGCATCATCATCATCATCATCATCATCATCATCATCATCATCATCGTCAGCACCATCATCGTCAGCATCATCAGCCATTTTGGTTCAAGCGGCGGCATGGGCTGGGGCTCACAGCTGCCATCTGTTTCACGACTCTGCCTGATAGTGCTGTCGGTCGATGGGCTCTCGCAGCCGCTCGCGCGAGCCAGTGCCCGCAGCACCCATGGATTGCCACACGATGATGGCACACTTCAGGGAGATGTTGCGCTCAGAGATCCAGGAGCCGATGGCAGAGGACTTCGCGGATGTGAAGACTTCCATCGACAACGTATGCAGGGACGTCGAGAGGCACGAGGGCCGCCTTAACAGTATGGAGTAGGAGATCAAAGACTTACGCGAGGGACGCTCGGCAGCACCATCTTCCACGGCAGCGTCCTCGGTTGGGCCTCCGCTGCTCTCCTCGGGGCTCGAGAGCGCGGCTCAGTCGGTCCCGTCGGGACCAAAGAAAGCGAGCGACAAGATCTGCGTGACCATCGGTGGCTGGGATCGGGACACGCCTCGCGATACTATCCTGAACGAGGCCCGTGCGTTCACCGACACGATTCCCGACAAAGCAGAGGATGGTGCGTTCGTCCCACTCAAGCGTGCGAGTTTCTTGAAGGTCCGCTCCACGAGCTCAGGACGCATGTGGGCTTGGGTGCGCTCTATGAAAGGGAAGCATATTACCATGCCGCAGCCGCATCACCAGGGTCGACGATGTTGGTTCTCAGTGGAGAAGGCCTCAGAGGAGATTCGGCGATTGATGGTGATCCGGTGCGCGAAGAAGGAGATGATCGACAACCTTGGTGTGCAGACGGCCGACCTGGAGATGGACTACATTCGTGGCATTGAAGCAGCACAGGTTTGGCGAAATGGTGAGAACCACAGGCCGCATGAGTTTCAAAGAGCACGTCGCGGCCGACATCAGCGCCCACGCGGGTGCGCACCTGAATGTAGTCGAGTCCCAGGCGAAGGTGAATGCGGGCCAGCGGTTGGACAAGGAGCGGACTCTAGAGGAGTCCGAGGCGCAGATGGGCTTCAAACTGACCATCTGGAGGGCCCAGGAGATCGCAAAGCACAACGCCGAGTCGACTACGATGCGGCCATCTTCCAGGGGGCGGGCTACTGGGGCAAGATCGCGAAGCTAGGAGCAAGGGGAGGCGACATCTACGTGACGCCGCGAGTCGAGGGGCAGAAGCAGATGCGGCTGCTGGTGCACTCTCGGGCTCGACTTTTTCTTCGAGGGGACCTGCTGCCGTCGAGGCGTTCGGCGGCTCATCATTTTCGCATTCGCAAGAAGGACTATTGGATTAGATGCAGTCACTTCTTCCTTGGACATTCTCCCAGCCAGTGCGAGGGCTCCTTGGAGCAACTCTCCGACCTGATCACGATGGCGCCGCCTGGGGCGTATCCAATCGTGGGCGCGGGCGCGCAGACGGCTCCGCCTCCCCCGCGGGCGGGCGAGGGGCGCTGGGTTGGGGGCTTCCCAGTCGGTCAGCGCACGCGTCGCGCCGAGATTTCGACGCGGCTTCTGATGCAGCACGACCGCGCAGCGACGAACACGTTGATTGCAGCGGCCAGCGGACCCACCTGCCACTGCGACTTCAAGCACCCGCCAGCCCAGATCGACTATGTCCTGATACCTGCTCGCGACAGCTGGAAGGTCAGCGCCGCGCTCGAGGAGGTCACCGACAGCGCGCAGTCCGCCCACTCGGCCACCGAGCCGGAACTCACCCTCGGCACCAGGAGGCGCTATGTCTGGAACGGAGCCGTGCACCTGCGAAGGGCTGGACCAGCCTCGACAACCGCTTCCAGCGCTGGAGCCGCAGCGCCTGCTACGCCGACCGCAACCCAGCGCCAATTACATCCATGGCGGACGCGGTGCATCTGGCAGCCGCAGCCCGTGGCAGGGGCCTGCCAGCGCGGAAGTCCCCAAGCTCCCCGAGAGCCACGAGCACATGCAGACGCAGCGGATGCTGGGGGCGCGTCGGCGGGGCACCCGCGACCGCGTGCAGCGTGCGATCTACAGCGAGGACATCATCAGGACCCGCAGGAAGATCTGGACCGCGAACAGGGCCCTGCAGCACGGCTTACACGAGGCTGGCAATCCTCGAGTACGAGCACCTCGCCGAGCTCAGCCTGGGCCGGCCCGCAGCCAGCCGATGAACATGGAGGGGGAGATCGAGGACGACCCGTTGCGGATCAAGGAGCTTCTGGAGCGCGACCACGGCAGCGCCTTCAGGGCTAGCGACGGCGAGGAGCCCGTCGGCGTCTCTGCCTGCCCCACCCACTTCACGAAGGAGGACGTGCTCGACATCCCGCCCTTCTCGCCCGAGATGCTCCGCGAGGCTCTGAACGACATGGAGGCTATGAAGGCGCCTGGCGTGGACGCGGTGGTCGCCGAGGTCCTGCAGGCCCTCGACTCGGGCTTCCTCGCCTCGCTCGCGGCCGTCTTCGAGAACCGCTTCCGCGGGGTGCCAGAGTGCCAGGGGCGAAGCCTGGTCGAAGCGCACCATCCAGCTCATGAGGAAGAAGGGAGACAAGCACGCGCTCAAGGGGTACAGGCCGATCACGCCCCTGACCACTTTCGAGAAGCTCTACTCGATCGGCCTGATCAAGAAATGCGGCGGCAAGCTGACCCTGCGGAGCCCACAGTGCGCCTATCAAGAGTTCCACCAGGCGATGGACGTGATCTTCAGCATGCGCATGCTGATGGAGAAGGCTCGCGAGTGGAACCGACCCATCTTCATCGTGGACGGCGGCGGCGAGGCGGCCTTCGACCATGTTTCGCGACGCTCGGTCGAGGAGGCGCTGCGAAGATGGGCCGTGCCAAGGCCCGTGATCCTGGCCATCATGAGGGAGTTGAAGGCCTCGGCGGCGATCAAGATGGGCTCGGCCCAGACGCAACCAGCACTTCGGAGTCGTGGCATTCGACAAGGAGACCCAGCCAGCACGATCCTCTTCAACTTAGTGCTCGGGGACGCCTGGGAGGAGTTCTCGGGCGAGTGCTGGGCGCGCGGCCGGGGCTTCGAGTTCCCAGGCGAGGCGACGCTGTGCGAGGCGGGACTACTCCACGCCGACAACTTCTGGCTGTTCGCGGGCGCGGCCGAAACGCCGCGCCAGATGACGATGGCCTGGCGACGCATCCTGCGAGATCGCGGTTGGCACGTGCCCCCCTCTGGTCTGGCCTGGGGCGCGACGACGCTGGACCACGAGTTCAGCGACTACCAGATGACGGTCGAGGACGGCATCCTGACGCGCGCGCCTCGCGCCGAGGGTTTCCCCGGCCTCGGCTCTGTCTTCACCTTCGACGGAAGATCTTGGAAGGGCACGCGGCGCAGGGCAGCGCGCGCTTGGCGAGCATTCTGCGCTCTCAAGTTGTCTCTGCCTGGACGCGCCTGCCGCTGGCAGCGGGCCGCGAAGCTGCTCGAGCGAGCTATCAAGCCTGTCTTGCTCTCTGGTTCGGGGTCGCGGTGCCTCCGCTGTCAAGGGCCTGAATTTAATTCGCATCACGCATCGCAAAATGTCCTCTCAGTTGATTTGCACACAATGATGGAAGGAGGAGTCGCCAGAGGACTTCTGCCGCCGTCGCTGGCGCCGAGTCTCTGCCGCTCTGCAGTCCCACCCGACGCGGGACATAGATGTGAATCTTCGCAGGCTCACCTGGGCTGGTCATCTAGCCCGCCAGGCCGCCTTGCCAAGCGCTGCGCCTGCCGAGCTAGTGCCCGCCCGCCAGCTACAGTGGCGCAACGTGGCCTGGCCCCAGAGAATGAAACGCGAGCACGCATTCCAGACGCGCGGCCGCAAGTTCAAGGCCTGGCGATGGGAGATGGATCTCGCTCGACTGTTCGGTTCAGATTGGCTTGTGGACGCAGGCCAGTGCAGCAAAGAGGAATGGCTCGCTCGTGTACGCCCGCTCGCTCGCCTGCTGCACTGACCTCAACCTTCTCCAGCCTCCCGCGAGGCGCTCTTGCATGACGTTTCTTATCAGCGGCTTGACGTGCCGCCTCAGGCGCAACGGAGACATTGAGGGAACGGTGCAAAGTGCAAAGCGCATCATCATCAACGCCAACATCATCTGCATCATCATCAGCATCATCATCAGCATCAACATCTGCGCCACCATCATTATCATCACCATCATCATCAGCAGCATCACCGTCATCGCCATCACCATCTTCATCATCATCCTCATCCTCCTCCTCATCATCATCATCAACGCCGTCGTCGTCGTCATCATCATCACCATCCCTTCCCATCCTCCGCCCTCCATTACCCTCCCCATTCCCCTCCTTTTCCTCCTCTTCCTCTTCTTCCTCGTTTCTCCTCTTCGTCTCCGTTTTCCTCATTCCCCCTCATCACCCTCGTCCTTCTCCGAGTTCCCGTCCTGAGAGAGGTGCGCGACCTGAACTTGAGGCTGGGGATACACTTGAACGGTTCCTGCGTGTCTCGGGCGCGGGTCGCAGCGTCGCCACAGTTGGACTCGTCTTGAAGTCGTGGGCTTTACCTTGAGGCCCAGATGCGCCGAGGGGTAGAGCCGTGGTGCCCTTGCGTTGTTCGTTGGCCTAGGCCAGACCCTGAGCTGGTGTCCGCTTGGACGGCCCGCTGAGCGGTGGCCGGCGCGCCGGCCCACGCGCAGCTGACGCTTCGCGCCCCGCCCTACCCGGACCCCGACCTCTTTCTCGTCCTCCCTGCCCGGACCCCCGACGTCGTTTTCGTTTTCACATGGGCCCCTGGACATGTAGACCTCTTCGCAGGGACCGGTTTTTCAACCCGAATCGTTTTTTGACGGTCCGAAGGCCCGGCGAGAGCCCCCACAGGCGCAAAATAGCCCAAGCCGTTCGTCGTTGTTTTTGTTCACGACGTGAATGAGTGTGGGTCGCCTCCACTCCCTCTCGCCTCCTTGCCCGCTTCCTCAGCAGGCGCCTTTTCCCCCGTTGGTTGTGTATAGAAGCGGACTTGGCCCAAGGCGATCCCAGACCACGGACCAGGGAGCGCAGATGGCATCTGATGGCTTCCCGAGCGCCCTTCACGAGGCCCACAGGGCCACAGAGGCCCCAAACTGGCGCGAAAAGCTCGGGAGGAGAGAAGGATAGCGGGGGAGGATGAGAAGGAGGAGGAGGAGGAGGAGGAGGAGGAGGAGGAGGAGGAGGAAGAGGAGGAGGAGGGAGGAGAGGAGGAGGAGGAGGAGGAGGAGGAGGAGAGGAGGAGGAAGAGGGAGGGAGGAGGAGGACGAGGACGAGATGAGGAGGAGGAGGACGAGGAGGAGAGGCTGGAGGAGGCTGGAGGAAGGATGAGGAGGAGGAGGAGGAGGAGGAGGAGGGAGGAGGAGGAGGAGGAGGAGGAGGAGGAGGAGGAGAGGAGGAGGAGCAAGAGCACCGAGGAGAGGAGGAGGAGGAGGGAGGAGGAGCGGAGGCCGAGAGGGGAGGAGGAGGAGGACGAGAGGACGAGGAGGAGGAGGAGGAGGAGGAGGAGGAGGAGGAGGAGGAGGCTGGAGGAGGCTGGAGGAGGCTGGATGAGGCTGGAAGAGCGGGAGGAGGAGGAGGCCGAGAATGAGGAGGAGGAGGCTGCAGGATGCTGTCTGAGGAGGAGGAGGAGGAAGACGAGGAGGAGGCGGAGGAGGAGGAGGAGGAGGCGAAGGCGGAGGAAGAGGAGCTAGAGGAGGAAGAGGTGAAGGAGGAGGAGGAGGAGGAGAAGAAGGCGAGGAGGAGGAGGAGGAGGAGGAGGCTGGGGAGGAGGAAGCGGAGGAGGGGAGGAGGAGGAGGAGGAGGCGGAGGACCACTAGTGTAAAAACAAGAGTCATCAACGACTCCCTCAAAGCTCCGTCTTTAGGGGCCCCCACAACGGTTCATTTCCATTGAAGGAATTGCCCCGTTGGAAGACAACCGTTTGAAAATCCTGGAGCATGCCAAAACATTGTTCTCGGAATTTCAACGCCACGTATCAACCTGAGTGCTGCGTCTTGACGATCCGGAATCGTACCAGAGCGCCATTTTCGGGACTTCAACACCGCGTAATCCTGAATCTATCCGAAACACAAATTCTGGTACGTTGATCATGGGAATCATTCAAACTCTTGCAAAGTTTGAACACTAATGTACGCGGCGCTAAGGCGAGAGCCACATATTGAAAAGGAACTGCCCTCAATACGTGAAGCTCCTGCAATTGTTCAAAGCAAACGTGCGCGGAGCATGGGCGAGAGCCACATTTTGAGAAGGAACCGTCCTCAATCCGTGAAGCTTTTGCAACTGTTTAAAGCGAATGTGCGCGGCGCTAACGCGAGAGCCACATTTTGAAAACGACCCGTCCTCAATCCGTGAAACTCTTGCAAATGTTTGAGACGAATGTGCGCGGCGCTCAGGCGAGAGCCACATTTTGAAAAGGAACCGCCCTCAATCCGTGAAGCTCTTGCAAATGTTTGAAACGAATGTGCGCGGCGCTCAGGCGAGAGCCATATTTTGAAACCACCCGCCCCCAATCCGTGAAACTCTTGCAAATGTTTACATCGAATGTGCGCGGCGCTCAGGCGAGAGTCACATTTTGAAAACCACATGCCCTCAATCCGCGAAGCTCTTGCAATTTGTTAAAAGCGAATGCGCACGCCGCTAAAGCGAGAGCAATATTTTGAAAACCACCCACCCTCCAAATGTGAATCTGTTGTCATGTTTTCAGCTTCAGAGTCATAAGTGGTGAGGAAGTCTCAGGCGAAACGCCCGACCCGCCCTAAAAACTGGCCTCGGGGTGCGACAGGGGGGAGTTATCTATAAGGAGAAGGGATGGAGGAGGAGAGGCTGGAAGAGGCTGGAGGCGGCTGGAGGAGGGTGAGGAGGCAGAGGCTGGCGGAGAAGGAGGAGGAGGAGGAGGAGGCTGGAGGAGGAGGGGAAAGAGGAGGAGGAGGAGGAAGACCAGTGCAAAACCAAGACGCACCAACGAATGTGCAATCAACTCGAGGTTCCCTCTTCACAGGTCCCTACAATAATTCACGTTCGCTGCGGGAAGTGCCCCGCTGGAAGACAGCCGTCTGGGAACCTGCAATCGTACCAAAATTCTATTATTGGGATTTCGATGCCGCGAAGCAACGCTACTAATGCGTCCTGACGAGCCTGAAGTGGTCCAGAACACCGTTCCTGGGGCTTCAACACCGCGGATCAACGTGGCGGCTGCGCCCTGACAGTCCTCAACCGTGCCAGGACACCAATCTTGGAAAGCCAACCACAAGAATTATTGAGAGTGCTGCAGATGCTTCATATTGAAACCATAAGAATTATTGAGAATCAGCCATAATGATTATTGATAGTGTTGAGATGCTTCATTATTGAGAGTGTTGAGAGCCAACCATAAGAATTATTGAGAGGCAGCGGGACGCTAGACGACAGCTACACTTTGAAAAGGAATTGCTCACCCACCATGAATTATTGCACACCTTTTTGGATATGCGCGGCGCTACGGCGAGAGCCAGATCTTCAAAGGAGCACGACGAATTTGTGCGGTGATAAGGCGGAACCACATTTCGAAAACGACGCGCTCTTCATCCGTGAAGCTCTTGCAAGCTGTTGAGACACATGTGCGCGGCGCTGAGGCGAGAGCCGCCTTTTGAACACGACCCGCCCTCCATCCGCGAAACTGTTCTACATTCTTAATATTCAGAATCGCAAGTGGTCGGGAATTCTCAGGCGAAACGCCCGGCCCGACCTACCGACTCGTCTCGGGGTACGACAGAGAGGAGTTATTTGCAAAGGAAAAGGAGGGAGGAGGGAGGAGGAGGAGGAGGAGGAGGAGGAGGAGGAAGAGTCGGCTGGAGGAGGAGGCTGGAGGAGGAGGCTGGAGGCTGGGAGCCCCCTGCGCCCCGAAGCGCGCGGCCGCCCGAAGTGGGGTGCAAACCCCGGCCAGGTGCCCGAGCGGCTCTTCCGCACGGACCGCCCGGAGCCCCTCACGGAGGACTTGGACGAGCTCAGGCGGCGCAGCGGCTTCGGGAGGAGGGGAGGCCGGTCGGATTCGGCATTGCAGCAGTCTGCTCGCCGTGAGGGCCTGTTTCGGTTGCCATCCTCCCCAGCGGGGGGAGGCCCAGCCCTGGGTCCCAGGCGGCGCAACGCACATAAACGAGAGGGCGGCGGACGGCACGAAACGACGGCGCGAAGAATGAGGAGGGAAGGGGGGAGGGCGACACTCGCGTTGTGAAGCGTTTCGGGCTCGGCGGAACTCGCCAGAAAGTTGCCGCCGCCCCCAGCATGGTGGCACCCCGATGAGGGGCGCAAGACGCGCAACCGAATACCGATGGGGAGCGGGCCCATGAAGCCCGCGCGGGCTTCGGGGCCCAGACCTCCACTTGGCATCGCTCGGACGTGTGCGTTTTTCCTTCAGCGAGGACCATCCAGGAGCATCCTTGATCATTTGGCGAAAAAACCACGCACGAAACCCCAAAAAACACAGGAAATGGACGTCCAAGCGATGGCCAGTCCAGCGCACAGAACAC